CAGTTCAAAAGGTTCTGCAGTCTGGTCCCTTAAGCCGCAGAGCCACAGCAGGACTGCCTTGTTGCTGGTGGTAAAAACCACCTCAAAGCGTCTCTACTTGTGCTGGCTTGTGCCTTGATGGGCGGGCCTGAGCCTCGGAAGTTGGGCAGAGGGCTAGCCTAGGCAGAGGGGGTGAAGGCCGGGATTAGTGGCTGCAGGCAGATGGCGTCCCTATCTGACGACATCCAAAAATGCCTCTCTCTGTCTCCCTGTGCCGTGGGCACCCGGCCTGCCCTACCTCCACGCCGACAACGTCTCCCGTGGCAATGTGGCACCCCCCCCTCACGAAGGACCGTGCCAGTTCCTGTGGCCCTGCCAGCTCTCTGGGTGCACCCGCCCTCCGAACGGGTCCGCTCACCGCCCGTGCTCCAAGCTCTGCAGTGGGTGGGCGCAGTCCCGGAGCGGGAGCCAAGCGCAGGCCCAAAATGCCCACAACTCCCCAGCAGCTCAACCCTTCAAAAAAGCAAGTCCACAACGTTGGAAGCTAAAGTCTTAAGTTTGCCCAAAGACTGTCTGTCTACCAGGCGGGGGCCTCCCCTGTGCGATACCACCCACCCTTCCCCGGAGCCCATGCACCTGTGGTGCCTGGTCAGGGAAGCACCGGAAGTCCCATCTACTTTTGATACTTTCTGCATCATTCAATAATTTGCCCAGAGAATTCTTCAATAACGAAAGTCAAGGCTTCAGAAATGCTGAGTGTGTTCTTCCCTTTTCATTTTCTGACTCCAGATCTTTGTACATTTCATGATTTGACTTTGTCTTCTCGAGCTGACCTTTGAAATTTTCTGTTCAGATCTTGTACCTCCTCATTTCTTCCATTTGCTTTAGCATCTCTACACTTGGGAGCAAGTTTCAGTGTCTCTTCTAACATCCACTTTGATCTTTTCCTTCTTGTCTTCTTAATGACTTTTTGCTTTCTGCATGTATGATGTTCTTGATGTCATCCCACAATTCTTTTGATCTTTGGTCTTTAGTTTTTAATGTATCAAATCTGTTCTTCAGATGATCTCTAAATTCAGGTGGGATATAGTCAGGGTCATATCTGGTGGGATATATTGGGCTCTCATGAGCTTGTTTTCATTTTCTTCAGCTTCAGTTTCAATTTGCTTATGAGCAATTGATGGTCTGTTCCACAATCTTCCCCTGGCCTTGTTTTGGCTGATGATATGGAGCTTTCCCACTGTCTCTTTCCACAGATGTAGTCAATTTGATTTCTGTGTATTCCATCTGGTGAGGTCCATGTGTATAGTCGTCTCTTATGCTGTCTAAAGAAGGTATTTAAAATGAACAAATGATTGGTTTTGCAGAATTCTATCATGCGATCTCCAGCATCATTTGTATTAGCAAAGCCAAATTTTCAAACTACTGATCCTTCCTCTGTTTCCAAACTTTGCGTTCCAATCACCAGTAATGATCAATACATCTTGATTGCATGTTTGATCAATTTCAGATTGAAGAAGTTGGTAGAATTCTTCCATTTCATCCTCACTGGCTTTAGTGTTTGGTGCATAAATTTGAATAATAGTGGTATTAACTGGGCTTCCCTGTAGGCACATGGATATTATTCTATCACAGACAACATTGTATCTCATGACTGATCTGGATATGTTCTTTTTTATCAATGAATGCAACACCATTTTTCTTAAATTTGTCATTCCTGGCATAGTAAACTATGTGGTTGTCAGATTCAAAATGGCCAACACCAGTCCTTTCAGCTCACCAATGCCTAACATATTGATGTTTATGTGTTCCATTTCATTTTTGACAATTTCCAATTTTCCTAGTTTCATACTGTGTACATTTCATATTCCAATTATTAATGGATGTTTACAGCTTTTTCTCTTCATTTTGATTTATGCCCCATCAGCAAGCAAATGAATGTCCTGAGGGCTTTTTACACCATTCATGGCATCTCGGTCAGCTCTACTTTGAAGAGGCAGCTCTTCTCTCATTGCATTTTGAGTGCCTTCAAATCTGAGGGGCTCATTTTCTGGCACTATAACTGACAGTGTTTCTCTGCTTTATAAGGTTTTCAGTGACTAAGTATTCGGAAGTAGTTCGTCTCTCCTCCTTCCTAGTCTGTCTTTGTCTGAAAGCTCATCTGAAACCTGTCCACTGTGGATGACGCTGCTGGTATTTAAAATACTCATGGCATAGCTTCCAGAATCACTGCAACTCATAAACCACCATAGTATGACAAATTGACAGACAAGTAGTGTCTGTCTTTATATGGTCTGCATACTTAGGATGGCTATTACACTTTTAAACAAAAATCAAAAGAAAAATAGTATTTCATGACATGTAAAATTATATGAATTCTAATTTTTAAGAGCTATTGGCACACAAGGTTGATTTTAACAAGTTCAAACTCACCAGCTGCTCCTCAGAAACCCTATGCCGGGTCGCCATGGATCGGAATCGACTTGGCGGCACTTAACAACAACAATTGGCACACAGCTACTCATTTGTTGGTATTTGTGTGGCTATGTTCATGCTATAATCAGCAGAGGCACTGAATAGTGGTGGCAGACCCCACATGACACACAAAGATGAAGGCATTTACTATCTGGCCATTTACAGAAAAAAATGCTGAGCCCTACCCTAAACAAACAAAAGGAGTTGCCGTTTTTGATGCAATGTCAAAGCAGTTTTATTTTGGTTCAATGTTGATATCACAGTTGCACTAAACACGGGTTTTGCATTTTTCTGTTTTTGTGAGCTCAAAGCAAATACCTTCGTGTGACAATAAAATTAAGGGCATTCATTTCTATCTATATTAGGGGGAAGAGACAGTGGTGTTTGTGCAGGAATAAAGCACACAGATGTGATTAATCCATAAGCATGGGTCACATGCAAATGACGGGGGACAGGGTTTTCACATCTGAGAGTAAATTAAAGGTGACCTGACCAATGTAGCTGAAGGAAGACAAGTGGAGTACACAGCCTCTCCTTGCTTCACTGCAGTGACCTGAGAATCCAACTCACCCGGTCTGCACTCTGGGCTGATTCCCTCATTGCCACCAGAGCAGGGAGGGCATGGTACCAAGCTGAGTCTGATGCCCACTCTACCTGCAGGTTCACATAATGCTCCCTTGGCCACTTGTGTTGCAGAACAGGCCCATCAGGCCACCCACTGCAGCTCCCCACAGGTTTCCAGACTTCATAGCAGTGTCCTCATCATAGACACAAGTACCAGGTCCATCACCAGCACTCAGTTTCCCCCTCTTGCTTGTCCCCTATGCTAAGGATCCCCCCACTACAGCTGTGTTACACAATATAGGGGCTGCCAGGGCCCCGCAACATAGGCCACACTGCACTCTCCTCACCACATTCTGCCTGCCTTGCAAGCAGTTCAAAGCTTCCTTCTCTAGAAGAACTGCTCTCACATTCCTTCCATTACACTGTACAGACCACTGTCCAGCCTACCTGGTCCACTGCTGGGACTTTTCTGCCTCCCCTGACCGTCCAGAGCTTCTATCCCTCTCCGGGCCCATAACCACACATTTTGTATTTCAGTTATGTCTGTGGCCCTCTTACTTCCCCTCTCCCACAGCTGCCTTCTGGCTAGCTCTCAAAACACAGGCCAAGGTGTACAGCAGTGAAATGCTGGGCCTGGGGCAGGGTGCCCTCACAAGGCTGCAGCCTATCCCATCAGACACACAGAGCAGAGACAAGGAGCTTCACTTAACATCTCTACAAGGTCTCAGTGTGCCTTCTGATGGGCAAGTCTTCATGTACTTATTTCAAAGCAGTCTGGCAGTGATACATGTAAAGTTGATGAGTGCTGGAATAAGGGGGGAGGGCAGTTTGTAAAGGCCAGAGGCATGTCTCCACACTGCTTCTACTTCTCCATGACATGCTCCTGTCTCCATCCCAGAAGAGGGGTGCGCCTGCCACATTTCACCCACTAACTAAAACCATACACCAGCAAAGAGGAAAATCATAAATCATTTAAAAAGATATTCTAAATTAGTATTTTTTTTTTTTTTTTTTTGTTTCTGGATAGAAATGGGCCAGCAAAAGCTAAAATCAGCACTTCAAGAAAACAAAATAGGTGTAGCTACTGTCTTCACTGATGGTGGAAAGCTGGGCAGTAAAAGAGTATTTCAGGTGCTTATAGGATGACTTAAAGGTATACTAGACTCTGAACTTAGAAAATTACAATCTTCAAAAAAATAGAAAACTCGCCTGTCCACCAAAGCAAAAACAAAACAAAGACTTCAGTGAAGATCTGTCTTCTCCAGCCTGTGTTGAACTGGGGTTGGTGAAAGGGCATGGAAAGCATGCAGCAAAGAGCCCAGAGGCCCTGAAGAAGACTCTACTGATACAGGATAGGCCTGAAAGTACTGAGATGGATAAAGAATTAGAAATAAGGAGCCATTTTCGTCCAGAAAGTCTGAGATCTTCCTTTCATCTTTAGTCGAAGTGAAGAAAGAAGATGTAGCATTTGCTCGAATTGGTAACATGGGGCAGTCATGCACCAGCAGTCACTGAGCAGGTGACCATTTGGCTCACGGACGTCTAGAGGAAGAGCTCGTGATCCCAGGATGGCTCTGACAAGACCTGCTGTGAACAGCAGCCTGAGAGCAGCCCAACTTCATAAAGCAGCCATGCCTGCTGAATGTCCTGTTGGGAGATCAACACTACCCTGTCATCCTTGTGTGTGAAGGCAAAACCCTCTCCTTCTGAGCTGTGCCTCAATTCACTGACCAGAAACCCCTTTAGTGAAGGCACAGTCATCTCCAGCTTCACTGCCCCCATCTTCTTCACAGCAGAGATCAGGTCAGTAACCTCCTAATCTCAAGGAAGGGGACACTTTCTTGGACAGACCTTGTAAATACTTCTCCTGCCCTTTGGAACTACTTCTCAGGGCCTTCATCACAAGGGAAGCATGCAGGGGTCAAGAACAACATACTCAAGACTGTTTTCACAAACAGTCCCATCTGTGTTTCCTTTTCCTTCTATGTCAATTTTTTCATTCGTCGGTTATGCTTGTCGATAGTTAGTGCTGCCCGGTCCACAGACGAGGTGATGCCATCCAAGGCTTCATCCTGTCTCTCCAGCTCCATTTCCGTGTCCAAGGCCAGACTCTTCAGCTTCCTCAAGATCTAGGAGAGAAGTTCAAAATGATAGTAGTGCTTTAAAAAACAAACAATAAAAAAAAACCTTGATTCTGTTTCTCAATCATAATGGCAATTTTCTCCATTATTTTTGTATTATTGAAGATATTTTATTTGGTAATTTAAATAATGTTTTCTTGTGACTTGAGAGGGGACAGTGTGCTAGTGGGAACAATAAACACCTTTCCCTAGAGTCAAGAGTCCTCATGATGGTTCATGAAGGAGTCACACACCTGGGTAAGGGTCTTGGCTAGCTGACCTTGAGTAAGGTACTCAGTGTCTCCCCATCTGTGGAGCAGGCTGCTAGCTGCTGTGTAGGCTGTCTTGAGGGGATGCATTTTCTTTGGCCTGTTCCTATCTGTGTTCAGAGGAGGCCTACAGAGGCAGGGAGGCAGCTGTGAGGTCCTGGATATGCCATTCACCTGTCACCAGTATGCTAGCAAATGGTACCCCTGGTGAGTGCTATTTTCGACTATAGTGGGTTCCTGCACCCGCTCAGTATGGCAGCTAGGCCCAGAGGCAGAGCATGGGATCAGGGCCTCACAACTGGGGTTTGAGTTCCTGCTCTCAGCCAATCGCTCTTTTCATCACCTGTCTTCGCCTGGGCATCTAACTGCATACTGAAGCTGGAAAAACAAGATTTACAAAGAAAAGAAAAGCCCTTTGCCTGTCTATATGTTTGAAATATTTTATGCACAAATACAGAAAGCAAAACAAAACAAACATAATCCAAAGTGGTGGAATAGTTCAAATTACACAGACCCACTGCAGGGCCTTCTGAGAAACGCTGGAGGCTATGCCTGGAAAAGGTGACTGGGGGTTTCCAGGCCATACCACACCCAGGATCCACTCTGACAGACTGGGTGGGAGTGGAGAAAGTACCAAAAAAAAAAAAAAAAAGCATCCAAGGACTGGTGGGGTTATGGACACATCAAACAAGAGAGATCTGGTTGAGCACGGAAACCACTGAGCTCTGAAGTAGTGTGACACACAGATCTCAGACTGGGACCCCTGGAGAGGCAGTAGGAACAGGAGGGTCACTCAAGTGTAGTGGACTAAGGAACCCCATCAGTCTTGGTTGCAGATCCCTAGGCCCCCCCACCCCATTTCTATGACTCATGTCATACTTCATGTATTTTCATACACTAACAAGAGCAACCATTTTATTACAATTCTATTGAGACTAATCACATTGTTAAATGTTACTTAAACTACGCACTTACTAAGCCCAGGTTTTAAAATTTAATATACTCAAGCTGACAACAAAAAGGGTACGTTTAAAAAGAAATCTTAATGAGCAACCATTTGCAATAAACGTTAATACTCTCTTTAGGGAAAGTTATATATCATTGGGTTAGGTCAAGAAAAAGGAATCGCAGAATCTGAATCAATGATGGGACACTCAAAACCATGTTTACTAACTCCCAATGGTTCAACGCATTGAAGATACATTCAGAGCCCCTTCTCCCAGTGGTAATGAACTCCAGCAGTGAACAAATGTGATGACTATTTCAGAGCAGCTACTTCTAATCCATTAATAGTGCATCATACCCCACACAGGCTTTCCCAGATGAGGTGAAGGAAGCCAGGTGTCAGGAAGCTCTGCTTCATAGGTGGTGTGTGGCTCCAGAAAAGGCGGCAACCCCACCTCAACTAAGAACAAATTGTGTTCCACCTGCACTAACCACATGGCAAAACCAAAGGAAGACATGACCCACTTCCTGTCTGACCAGAAGGCCTTGGGCAGTGCACTCTTTATGCCTAAGCTTCTTCGCCTGGTTAACAAGGAACCAAATCAAGGCAGAGAGATGGTCAGGATGTGCTAGGAGGACAAGAAGATCCGCCTTCTTCCAAAGTACTGGTGAGGCTCAAATGAGATCACAAATGTGAACAAGCTGTGAAAACTATAAAGCACTATGTAAGGGTCCTAGCAGCCAAGTCTCCAGAATGTTTAAACTAAAGGAGCCTTGGGCCACTGAACACAGCTCCCCACCCTCACTTTGCAGCAGGGGACATGGGGACTGAGAGCTGAAGCCATGTAAGGTCATACAGCAAGCTGGTGACAGAGGCAGTACTTATCCTCAAATCTGGGATTATCACTGTTATCTTTGCCATTAGGCATAAGAATAAGTTCTTGATTCAAGTTAGCAGACTCAGACAACAACCTTTTTGCACCCTCTGGGAGCTGGTGGAAACTCCATCAGTTGAGTCACTTAAAAAACTGGACAGAGTCCTGGAAAATACACTGTGGGGATCAATCTGGCTCTGGAAGTGGGGGACGAACTGGATGACCTAATACAGTAGGTCTTTTCCATCTCTCATTTCTATGATCTCATATGGCTGATGCCCAAACAGCATAATAAAAAAAGAAGAAAAAAAACCCATCATCATCCAACATGTGAAGCAGGTTCTTCCATGTACTTTCTCTGGTAAGTGTTCCTTTCTCATTTACCTCTGCCCCACCTAGAATGGGGACAGAATGTCTCCCAGAAAAGTTACCCTGCCTTACATGTGATATCCAATGAAGTGGCTGCACCTGTGCTGAATGAGCAGGTCACACAGATCCCAGGACAGTCTTCTCTGGAGTCTGTGTTTCTTCTTTAATCACTTTAAAAAGTGATACAGGTTTATTTTTAATGGAACTGTCTCTGAGGACCCCAAGGCTTCTAGTTGTGAACAATGACCTCTTTGTACCCAAGGACAGCATTCTCCTCTAAAACCCATTTTGGTAATAAATCCTACATGCTTCTAGGCCTCAATCAACCCATCTTCTTCAAGAAGATGAATTAACCAACTCTTCCCAGTCTGCAATTAAGCAAGGGCAAAAGTGAAAACATCTTTATCACCGAGTCTTTGTTTAATACGCACAATAATAAGTACTGCACATACAACTTAATTCATGACCAAAAAAAAAACAGGTGACATTTTACAATGTTTGTAAGTGCAAATAAAGATCAGCTCCTGCAGAATTTTTTGATTTGGAAAAAGATACATTAAAAAGGACTTTAAAATAGCACTCATTCCAAATCATCTGTCAAGACCCTTGATTTGCCTGCAAAAATTACAGCTGAAATTAATTAGTATGGTAAAATTGCGAAGCAATATCTTTATAGCTACTAGGTCTTCAGACAAAGAAAATTATTGAATACACCTTCAAACGACTAGTCCCCCTGGAGCCTTGGTCCAGATTTCTTTTCCTTTAAGAAAGGGATTGAAGTAATTCAACGGCATCGTGTGAATTCCATACAACATGGGGTGGAAAGAATGGAGAACATGAAGTCTGGCCAAACCTTAAAAACAGTTGTTACTTTTGTGGCCTAGGATGACAAGCTGTCTAGTCATCAATGTGTCATGCTGCCAACCTCTGAAATATCAAGTGGCCTCTCGGATGAGTCCTCACCAGGCTCTGAATCAAAGACCAAGAGCAAAATGAACTCTCCCCACATCCCTGTGACACTACTAAACAAGCCAAGGAATAGACCATTTCCCCAGCCATGTTTTTACCTACATAAGAAATCATTTGTCTGAAAGTGTTTTGTGCTTTATAGGTTTAGAGAAATGAACATTTATAAAAGTCACAGAAATATATACTACATGTGAACATAGGCAAAACAAAAAAGTACACATGCTAGGGTTGACAGAAAGAAGCAACTTGAGAGAAACCACAGAAAAAAAACCTCTTCAACTTGGAGCAGTCACAGACACTCTGCCAAAGCCAGAGCAATCCATTCAATTCTCCAGCAGGATAGCTGAATCCCTCTCACTCATGTCAAAGCTGAGGAGGGGGCAGCTCTAGGTTGTCCCTGTAGCAAATAAACTCAGCAACTGAGGCAAAACCAAAAAGGAGTGAATATCCATTGGCCCGCTGAGCAAAGCGAAAGTTAGTTTCCTCCAACAGCAATGCGTGAGGAAGACGCTCTGGGCTCTGTTGACTGTGCCAGCCACTGTTGTATGGCCTCAGTCCAGCTGCTCTGGAAGGGGGAGAACCTCTCCTTCATCCCAACACCGTGGCTGCCTTCCACCTACACAGAACACCCCAAAGCTCGAAACAAGGGCCACACACATAGTCTGGGTCAACAGCAATGCTGAATCAGGTGCACCAGAAGAGCAAATACAGAGACGTTAATGCCTTCTAACCATTCCCATTTTGTTCATAAAACAAAAAATAAATTACAGAAAAACAATAAAATACAATAGGTCACCTCACCAAAGAGGATGTGCTTAAATGTGTGCCCCATCCCTACCATGTAATGGTCTAAGTGTCATCACATTGTAAGACTGGACATTGGTGTTGTTGTCAAGGTGGTCCCAACTCATAGCAACCCTGTATAGGATTTCCAAGGAGTGTCTGGTGACTTTGAACCATCAACCTTGCAGTTTAAACTGGCCTTGTGGTCCAGTGCTTATCTTACACACTAGGACTCCAGGACTAAGTATTAGAGACCCCAACTTCTATGGTAAGTCATTCTACCACAGATGTTCCTGAAAAGAAAAAATCACTGCTTGAGCTCCCACAGTGTAAGCACAACACAGAAAGAGCAAACTGTGCAATAGAAATGGAGTCTCAGTGCTTCCAAATGTTCTGCCATAATTTCTCAATGTATTCTGGGGGCAAAAAAACTTTTACTCTGCCTCCTGATAAAGCTCTAGGATTTAGAGTTTTACTACATTGATATTAAGCACCTAAAGTGTGTTTAGAATTAGCTAGACTGTCTGCCTGGATCTTGTTATTAAGCTGACTCAATGAAAAACTGTGAATTTTCGTGCAGTGAGAAATTAGCAACCATTTAAGAACAGAGCTTGGATAAATCAAGCTGTCTGCAACTCAAAATAGTTCTACCAGTTGGGGCCATTAATATGCTATAGAGAAGGAAAAGAGGGGGGAAAAATTGGCGCTCACCACAGCCAAAGCTCTGGGGACTGTAAAGAACATTCTACGCTACAATCTGTCACATTCAGCACTCACAGACCACCCCCAAAGTCTCACC